AAAAAAAAAAGATTGGTCATTAAATCCTCACTTTCATATACTTCAGGAAATTCCAGTAACTCTGAAACTTTTTTCCACAATTGGATTCTCAATCTGTCGGCAAAGGTACCTGCTTTATGGCCGATTAATGACAACATTCAAAGGTTGTGAATACTTGGTCATCCCACTGGTGTTTGCAGCATGATCCAAATGCTTGTAACCTTTTGTATTCATTCTCTCTGTCATGTCCGTGTCTAAAACTGACATGGCATGCTTGTATAACAAAATGGCCAGCTGCCTTTTCCAATTTCTAATTTCTAACAGATGTCACACTCCAGAATACCACAATCTGCTTTGTCTGTAAGGATATTATTTTTGTTAAAAGATGTGTTGGATGATTCTGGTGATCTGTTTGTCATGCAGCTGCTGGTGAGTGGAGGTGTTGATTCTTCTGTGTGTGCCGCACTGTTGCATAAAGCCCTGCGTGAGGACCAAGTGATAGCCGTTCATATTGACAATGGTTTTATGCGCAAGAATGAGAGTCAGAGAGTGGAACAATCCCTTGAGAAGCTGGGTCTGAGGTTGAGAGGTAGTGTACTGATAGTCATGATTTTGAATTTTTCAGTGTGAGTGCTGAAATCATTGCCGAAACTTTCTAGTTTCTGTTGTCTAGAAAGTGGTGTTCTTTTGTGGAATGTTTGGTCTTTATTTTGTTTATTTGGATAGTTTTATATTCATAAATTCTTCAGAGTTATCATTATCTTGTACTTGAGCATCATCCGTGCTGTTCTTGAAGGTTCAGAATCATAGGATTTAAACACAAATCCACATGTTAACAAATATGCCAAACCTTTTAGGTACTGTGGTTTATGTGACATTATGGAAAAGACTATTACGTTTTATGGACTTACTTCCAGTGATGCTACCTGTACAAGTGTATGTTTTCCCGTATTCTTCTGTAAGATGGCGGTGAAAGCATTTTATAAAGTGATAAATTGTATAATGGGACAGATACTTAGTAACAAAGAACACATTGCACTATAATGAAAGCAAATGCCTCCCAAAATTGGTACAAAGTTGGATTGTAAGTGAAATTGATAATGTCTCTGCATGGAATGTGGCATAAAGAAGACCTTTTGAATGTCACTGTACTGCAATCATGTTTTCTTCTGCCCACCCAAAGGAATGTAAATAATATAGGTAGAAGTGTAAATGCTATAAGGAGAGAAAAGAATATGTGATTAATTGAAAGTATATATTTGTCCGAGTCTGTGACCGTATTTGGACGTGTGCCTCGTTAATACAGAGGTGCACCTACAGTTATTTTCTAAATGTTGAATAAGTCACAGAGAGTGCATGGGAACACAGTAACCAATAACTGAATGTACTATAACAAGAGAAAACATAATTTCTTTTTAAGTGAGTTCAGTGTATGAAAGTTGACAGCAAATTTCGAAGTCTAATTTTATGATTTAATAACTTCTAGAATTTGTGTATATATGCATGCGTATGTACAGGAAATGTAGTTAGACATAAAGATTTAATAGTGGTATGTGTTGTACAAGGTTTTATCAAAAGTAATAAAAGAAATGAGACATAATCAAATCTGTGGCAATTAGAGTTATCCCCTCCCTTGAAGGATTGCAGTTTTACCAAAAAATGGCATGACATTTTTGACGTGCTGATGCTATAGGCTGGCATTAAAAGGGTTAAACTTTGGGGGAGGGATCCCCTTGTTTTCCTTACATTATGAGATATGCACATGACAGTCACTGATGTGTTTTAGTGATCAGTGCCAGCCATCAGTTCCTGCTTGGAACCACAACTATTCCCATGGACAAACGAGATCCCAACTCCAGAACTCGTATTACTAAGATTCTCTGCATGACATCAAATCCTGAAGAGAAGAGGAAAATTATTGGAGATGTCTTTGTGAAGGTCAGTAACCCCACATAATCATTACTCATCCCAGTGCACATGTCTGAATTTCATAGCATTTTGTTGTGCCTCTGCTATGTCTTGCTCCATTTGTTCTGACAGTCTTGATCTATGCTTTTTATTTCTATTCCTATCTGTCTCATTCCAGCGATTTCTTCCCCCTTGCTATTACTTTGTAACCTTATACCTTACAACTGACTTTGTATTGATGATAAATATTTCATGCCAGATCTAATAAGCTAATTTCAAGTTATTGTCGTTGTTGTTATTATTAATGTTCTGTGTGACTGTTGCAGGTGGCAAATGAAGTGATATCAGAGCTGAACCTGAAGCCAGAAGAAGTATTTTTGGGACAGGGTACCTTAAGGCCAGACCTTATCGAGTCTGCTTCGCACCTTGCTAGCAGCAAGGCTGATGTGATCAAAACACACCACAATGACAGCGAGCTCATCAGGCAGCTTCGAGATGAGGGACGAATTGTTGAGCCATTGAAGGATTTTCACAAGGATGAGGTATTAATCTGAGTGCTACTAAAGCTGTAATTATAATTATGTAATGTTACAGAGCAGAACACTGCTTGAGGCACAGCAGTAAATTGTGGTATGCATCTGCTGCCCACTGAACAGGTTAGCTTATCATTAATTAGTATTGTCCTGTGCTCTCTACATAACAATTTTAAATTTTAGACAGGGAACTGGCTGTCCTGTCTGTTTACCTCAGATCTTGTGGTGACAGCTAAGATAAGTGCAATCTGCTTCATTCCCACACATTTCTCTTAATCATCCTGCCATCTTATTTTATGTGAAGTAACCTTTGCAGTTAAAGAACATGTTAAGCTGTTGATTATTCAACTCTCCATATAGACATGCTTTATATTGTGTTTTCTAGTATTTAAAATATCATGTTCTACAGTGAATATTCTTATTTCTTTAGTTTTGAATGAAGCAATTGGTAACTTTATGTGTCAACTGATTAACAATAAATAACTCAGCTTTTATATTTATGTGTTTCATATGATTCTCACTGTAAATAGGGATTACTTGATTTGAAGCTTTCATGGCGAAGTAACTCAATAAAATCTTCTCAGGTGATCAGCTGCATCAAATGGTTAAACAATAAAACCAACATTTCAGGGACCATTTGACGTGGCTGGATCGCCCGACAAGATTTTATTGAGGGATTACTTATTAATAATTTAATTTCCAAAAATGCCATGCCATTTTTGGGTAACTGTGAAAGTGGACTTACAGTTGCATTTCCAAAGGTGGCAGTTGCATTAGAGCAAGTGTGTGTGCCAGAAGGAAGTACTTTGAAGGAGGTTAATGACAAAATAGATATTGATTATCCACCAAAAATTTTAATAAAGATATGTGTGTGCACGCGCACATGCTTGTTTGCTTGTATTCTGGCAACTAGTTTTTAAGGTGACTCCTAAGACTTGCAGTTTGCTATTAAACACTTCACTGGAAGAGGAAAATTGTGTTCACATACTATGATACAGTTGTATCTGAATTAGACGATTGGAAAAAATTAAAGTGTTTAACAAGCAGTGTGATTTTATTCAAGGGCTTTGTTCTATTGTTTCACATTTAGTGGTATATTTATCTCTAAATCTGATGAAAGTGGGATTCTGTAGTAAGCCAGAAATGAGAAGATATGATTTATATATGCTGCTGAAATGTGGTGAGGAAGATTATGTGAAGAGCTGTTGGTTTCAAGTAATAAAATAGTTATAATGTGGGGTTCTAAATGACTCCTTGCAGATCTCTGATTGTTTTGTGACAGTTGAAAATATTGTTTAATGTAGAAAAAAATCCATTTGATGGGTTTTGGACCCTCACTGTGCATAAGAGAAAAATTTTCCTCAGAGTGTGAAGATCCACTGTCCTGAATCTGGAGGTGTAGACTTGACATAAAATTTGTTTAGTTGATTCTTTCACAGCCACCAGGCCCTGTGGAACATTGTAGTTTCTCCAAGTTGTTGATCTTTATGATTCTTAATCTCTATTATACAGGGATGTTGGATGTAATGCCCTCTACTATGGGGCTACTTGCTGAACTTTAATTACACATTTTAGTGGGATACTACTGTGATGCACAGCTGATAAGGGTTAACTAATTTGCCTTCTTTACAGCCAGGTCTCATATTATCATAGCTGGACCTCTGTTCAGGTACGGATGTTGGGCAGGGACCTCGGTCTGCCACTTGATCTGGTGATGCGGCACCCATTCCCAGGTCCAGGCCTCGCCATAAGAGTACTGTGTGCCGAGGAGGCCTACATGGAACGGGATTTCTCAGAGACTCAGGTCCTTGTAAAAATCATAGCGGAGTATGACCAGATGCTACAAAAGGTAATGACTGTTTGGTCCATTTTGTATTGCACAGGCAAGCTATTATATTTACATTATTATGAGAGTTGTTCAAGTAAAAGCTGCATATTGCATTGCTGGTAAATACAGCCAGTCACAGGTGATCAAGTGATTGTGTGCATAATATATGAGCAGATGGTTATGAGCTTTGTAAACTGAATGGATGGCATTAGATTTCTCTCTGGGGCAGCAAGGAATGAATGAGTGTTGACACCTGACCAGGCCCATGTTTTTGTGACATCTGTGTGAGTTGCTAAAGTTGAGTATCTGTTTGTGTGAACATACGCAAGCTTTATGCACAAGGCTTGCAATTCTGTATGAGTGTTGGTACTGTGTACACACTCCTGTGACACGAGGGACATCACAGGTTGTGCTCCAATGGACATCAGCAAATGGCAGTGCCACTGGTTTACTTCCATCACTACCAAGCAGAGGACAGTGCATTCCTGGAGCCTCTGTGCAAAAAACTACCTGGGCTACCGTTCAAACCGCTGCGGCCTGCCTGAATGTCTTTGTCAGACATAAATTATTGGTCTTTTAACACTCTCTTGAGGGAGCTGATACACGGAAGTGACATGATGACAGATTTTGGCTCTATGGAGAATAGTGCACAACCTTCACTGCATGTAGCACGTGTGTCATGGGAAGTGTGGGCCACATGTAAAGAACCCTTTCTTTTATGTTTGTTTCATGGCTGTACAACACGGTTGTGGGTTTTCGCCACCTCCTTTTTGGAAGTTTCTTGATCTTGAATTGTGCATTTATGATTAGTGAGTGACCACCCCGCTGACTGCACAATTTCTACTCTATCCTGACTTGGCTGCCAGAGTCATCTAGCAGTTAATCAGGAGACTTGGGTGTGTAGTGGCCACTGAATTTTGCTTATGAAACATCTCGTGTCATGCTTGTAAGATTCTTTTACATGCCGTAAATCTACAACATGGGACCACCAGCTTTACTTACCCTCCAAAGGAAGTTGTGCTATAGATTTTTATAACCCTTAAAAATCCATCAATCTCGGCCAGGAAGCGAAGCCTGGGTACAATGGCGAGCAGGCTAACCACTAGTCCACCGAGGGCGACATCCTTTCTTTTATAGTGATATGGAATTCTGGGAAGGTTTTACAGTAGCACTATGAGGGTCTACTTGTGTCCAAAAGAGTGGCATGTCCTTCCCTGCAAATGATTGGGACCTAAATTTCTTAAGGCAGAGAGAGGATGGGTGTTTCCATTATAAGGTCTTCTGTGGATTGAAAGTAAGGGCAACGGGTCTCATCATCTGCCACAACTTGTCACCATTGGCTGCCTCAGTGCACATCGGGACTATTTTTAATGGCCTCTACTTATTCACCCAGAACAATCTTTAAATTGGTTTCACTTGAACAATTCTCATGAATCACAGTGTACACCGTTACATAGCATATATCGGTAGGAAACAAGAGATATTTACAGTTTTCAGAGAAGAGACTGCTTCCAAATGTTAACATTGTGCTTTGATTGTATGACGTTGTGTAGAAGCCTCTGAGTTAATTGTGTCTCTGGTTACAGAAGCATGCATTGCTTAACCGTGTGGAGAGTGTAACAAGTGAAGAAGAGAGGTTAGAACTGAGGAAAGTATCAAATAAGCAGCACCTAGCAGCCACATTACTGCCTATTCGAAGTGTTGGTGTCCAGGTAAATAGTGCTATTACTCTTATGTAAAATGAGGTCTGATGTATACCTGGTTGCATTTCTTTGATAGATAATTTATATAGAGTGCTGTGATTTGGGATGTGTGGATGACTACATTTTTAAACTTATCCTTAAACATGGCTTTGAGTTTTGAAACAAAATTCAGACTGTGAATATAAAAATGAAGTTTACCCTTTATCTGTTATGGTAAGAAATCATTCCAAGTCTTTTGTGATTTTAGGTGTAAAGTCTTACGAAGTAGAGAGAGAACAGTAGTGTAGTTATAGTGAATCCAAATTTAAGTTTTCATGATATAAGGTTTTCTGTCATTTTGCATTCATGGCTTTGTATAATAATACCCTGGTTTAGTGTTTCTTGATCTAAGGTATTATAGCCATTTGAGGAAGAATCTGGACCCCAGTTCAGTGTTCACGTGAACACAGCATGCGCAGACGTGAGAAAACACTCTCTCCAGTAGAAAGAAAGGAATAACTGAAATGAAGTGTACTGCAAGAAATTCACATGATAATTTCATGGAGTTTATAAGCCTTGTGTCTATTTCAAACTGCTTCAGAAAATTAGAGTTCATTTCCACTTCTGAACAGCCGACTGAAGGCTTCAATGAAGGTAACATAAAATCCAGAAATTTAGTTTAAAGACATTGTGAACTGTAGTGATGTTCTTTAGACTACACCAAGAATGATTGCCAAAGAAATATGCAGTGCTGTTGATAAAGAAAACAAAGCTACAGAGTGAAGAAGAAGTAGAAAAGAAACCACCGATTCCTTCATTTTAGGAGGCAGTTTCTTTGAGGCTGTGCAAAAGTACATGTCTTTCTTCAGACACGATGATGGCAAGACCAGGTGGAATGTGAATTGCTCTTACTTTGTCAGATATGTCCAACAAAGCAAACATTTGTTTTGTATGATTTCAAGAAATAATACACCCGTAATGTGCATGTTTCTCTCTCTCTCACACACACACACACATCTCTCCCCTCCAATGTTACAGTTATACTTTATTTGTGAGATTTTGGATTCTCATGGCAACAGGTATGGTGACTATCATCTGGGATGTTGCATCACGTAGTCTCACAGAAATTGACTGACTTATCACTCTGATGATGGAGCCATTAAGTACCTCTGAAATGTCAGTCAATTTCTACGAGACTACATTGAGCAGCTTCCCAGAAAACAGTTTTTTTTAAATTTTATTTGTCCTCATGTACATTTACATCATGTAAATCCTATATCCTTCAAGTATTTTTATAATCAAGGGAGTAATTTTTTGTTTCATTTTGGTATAACCCATGTTTAAGGCTTTATGCAATTTGAGGTACAACATGCTTGTCCCCCAGAGAAACCCCAAGTGGGTATTTACTGTAACTAGTATTTGTATAAAAGTGGAATATTTGTTTCAAGGTTAATGAATTTGCTGTCATGGTCTGTGTGCAGGGAGACTGTCGGACCTACAGCTATGTTGTAGGACTGTCCAGCGAGAAGGAGCCTGACTGGGGTGACATGCTGTTTTTGGCTCGTCTCATTCCTCGGGTGTGTCACAATGTAAATCGGGTGTGCTATATATGGGGCGGGTTGGTGCGTGACCAGGTGCTGGACATCACACCTACATTTCTTACTTCCAATGTCCTCAGCACGCTTCGGCAGGTGGACCTTGTCGCCAATCAGGTGAGCAAGATAAAAGTGCAAGTTGTTGATTACAGTGTTTAGCTGGGAAGCAATACATAAACCTGCTTACTTTACCGTGACATTCTTTTACCTGAATAATGAGAGAATGTGGGATACGTCTTTAAATATTGAATTTAAGTTGACATTCCACTATACGGGATATAGCAGCATATTTATGTTCACTTTTTAAAGATGATGACTTGGTCCCCAATCATATGGTACTGCAGGCTCTTGCAAGGAAAGTGGCCATAGTGTGAAGCCGGCCACTGACACCATCTGGACCGACGTTCAAAATGTGTAGATCTTTATCTACACTTCCTCATATATCTGTATGGTTTAATGCTTAAAACACTTCACCACTTTTACTTAAAATGATGGTCTTATTAGTGAGGTGTTTATACTGTGGCAGGTGCTGGCCTCATCTGGCTGTGTCAACTCTCTCAGTCAGATGCCGGTTGTGCTGATCCCTGTGCATTTTGACCGTGACCAAGTGTCTCGGATTCCCTCCTGTCAACGTTCCATTGTGCTCAGGCCTTTCTGTACTCACGACTTCATGACGGGAATGCCGGCCATCCCAGGACAAGAACTGCCAGTAGATGTAAGTCCACTGTTACGGTACATATATTTGTGCTTCTTGAATTATATGTAAAAGTTGCATAATTATTTGTGTATGATTGGTATGTACATACATGTCTGGAGACCGAAGCTTCCCTGTACACAGAGACAGCTCACATTCAGATCATCAGAATACAGTCATCTTCATCTTGGCCTGCATGTAACTCATAACACCCCTTTGTTGACCTTCAGTGGAACTCTTTCCAGGAAATGTCTTTCAGTTAGTTGGAGTGCTATTTTGTCTCATCATGGCACTTTTCCATCCTATTCCACTTCCATGTTGTATAAAAATTGCCTGTACTAGATCAACCCTGAACTTCAGATGGTCAGTCTTTGTTGCTGGTGAATTTGCTCAGCAGATAATCATGGAGTTCATAATTGTGGCAATTATCAATCTCCTGAAGATTTTTATATGCCATTTTAGTTTTTGTTCTTTTTGTTTCATGGGGTAGGGTGGAGTGTTGGAGCGTGTAGTAGGCAAAAGCACTGCCTGGCACTACAAAATATGAGTCCATGCTGAAAGGTTGTTAAGTGTGTCAGAGAACTTCTTAGTCTGTGGGAAACCTTGTATAATATTTGCTTGAAAACCACACAGACATCCAGTCTTATGAGAATAGAAAACATGAAGTTTACTTTTGCACCTAATTCAATGGAGCCAGTACTTTTCACTTTATAGTTAAACTTCTTATTGAACCCAGAGAGTAACTACATACAAGAGGTATGAAAACTGTGCTCATGCTTCTCATTAACACATTTTGCAATTTACATGTATGTTTGACTTAGCAGCCTTGAAGATTCCTTTTACCAAGATATGTTTTTAAAGATCAGAACACAGAAAGATTATTAAGTGATCTGTTCGTTTCACTGTATGGTAAGTCTGATCAGGTTGTAAGAATGCAGAGATGAGAAAATATTAGATTCTAATAAGGAAGATTGTCCAGAAGCAAACACTGAGAAGACTAATTGAATTCATGTTCATGTCTTGTCACCAGACCGCAGCACAAAATCACAATGTAAAGGTAGCTAATAACACCTTTGAAAACATGGCAGAGGTCAGGTATTTGAGAACAGTGGGAAAGAATCAGAATATTTTTCATGAAGAAATTAAGAACAGATAAAATTTGGAGAATGCTTGCTACTGTGGAGTTTGGAATCTTCCCATCCGCTATGTAAAGATTTATTTTTCTTCCCGTCAAGGCTTGGTGTGACAACCAGTTCTGAGGCTAAACTATTTGGTCCTTCAGCCTTTTCTTTTGGCGTCGAGTCTTGGCTTTCAACAAAGTTTATAAAGTAAAAATGAATGTGGATATTGAATAGGTGACATCCTGGACACATGCTCTTTCCATCTTTTCCAGTTTTCTTCAGTTTCTTTGACATTATTAACTACCTCTAGTTGTCTCGTATTGTCTTCACTCTTCGTTTTCTCTCGCGCAGTACGTAAGTATGTCATAAAACTCATTTGTTATCTTTTATTTGTAATTCCCATGATTCACATCCATATGTAAGGCTGGGTTTCAACACTGTTACATTAACATTATTTTACTTCTGTCCTCACACATCCATTTAGTGTATTATATGAGGTTGTTTTATTCTTAGTCCATGTTTATGTCATTTCATATCTTATAGCCCATATATCTGAATGCAGAAATTTGTTTAAACGTTTGTCCCCCCCCCCCCCC